AATTATAAAATATCAAAACAATCCTTAAATCCTAATATTTATCTTTTTATGTTTTTGAAAATAAAAAGATGATTCCGTCATGATTCCAAAATGGAATCGGACGTTCCAAATTAGTAATTTTTTTAATCGCATTTCTGCAGCGCTTCCAAAAGATTCTAAAATTGTCCGACTCCGAAACGTGAAACGTCATCAAATAGAATTACCATGCAATATAGGATCCTCTCCAGTTTGAGAACTAAGAAAAAAAATTAGCAATTTCTCTACTCGCAACCTTTTAGATGAAAATTTCAATACAAAATTTTAAGCTTATGCATTCTTATCATATCACCCAATTAGATGAAATTTATGGATAAAGATAATTGATATAATTCGTTTGAATCAGTTAAATATGTTTAACACATGTCGGAAAATTATTTGGATACAAGAATAACTTATTTAAGTGACTAGATCTACTAGATAAAATTATCTAAAATTTACTCAAATCACATGAATCCATATATATAATATAAGAGTTTTTTCTTTGTCTAATGTGTCCACATTAACAAAAAAAAATTATAGGCCATTATAAATGTTCATTTATTGACTTTACTCAATTCAATTTTGACCAAAATCTCTTTTTTCAAGCAGCATGTTTTTTAAAGAAATCTGATATTTTTTTCGTAGGGTCTGATTTTTTTTCTTCAAATTGGGTCAAATTTTTGTGTTTCAATCGGGTCAAGTGGGTAATTATAGTGCAAAACGCTATTTAGAGCAAGAATAGTTTAGGTGGTTTCGACCATAATTCTGTTATGAGATTCACGGTTTGGTTGGTAAAAATTGAGTTTATTTAGAAAAGATGATTTTTATTGAAACTAATTTAAAATAGATTACATAGTAAAAAAAAGTTGAATAGATGAAATACAAAAAAAATTAATCGTTTTTTTCGCACCGGAACATATATGAGAATCTTCAATTTTGATGTTACATTCGCAATACCAAAACAGTTTTATTTTAAATCGAAGGTAAATAATTAGATGTTCTCATATTCATAATAACAGCTGGACTTTCAATATTGTTATGATAACACAATAACAATTCTCTTAAAATTAGATATATATTTTTTTTTAAAATAGATAAATTTCCTTCTTTCGTAAATAGGGGATAGTTTTAGGCAGTCAAGTCGATTGGGAGATAATATATAATAATAAATAAACTCGTGACATCACCAAATTTCATCGGCAACGGGCAAATTGCATTAATTAAATTAAGTAAAATGGTTTCACGGTCAACCACCGATACGCCGCCGTAAACACCGACTTGCCTCCTTCTTAACCACCTCTCCTAATTTCTCTTTTGCATTATTATGTAACTGCTTCTTTTATTCTTTATATATCTTTTATTGCTTAAGACATTAGACAATAATTATTGTTGACATAAAACATATGATTAATTGATGAATAATGTCATCTAATATATACATAATTAGATATGTCCTTAACTGTTCTTAAGACTTTTGCTTTTGTTTGCTTCTGTGGAACCTGTTGAAAAAGGAATTTCAACATCAAAGAACAAAAAAAAGA